AGAGTGGCAAATAAGTGTTAAACGTACTTCATGAAGTGAAAAATTGTGATCAGGTATACATCAGAGTGGCAAACAAGTGTTAAACGTACTTCATGAAGTGAAAAATTGTGATCAGGTATACATCAGAGTGGCAAACAAGTGTTAAACGTACTTCATGAAGTGAAAAATTGTGATCAGGTATACGTCAGAGTTGCAAACAAGTGTTAAACATACTTCATGAAGTGAAAAATTATGATCAGGTATACGTGAGAGTGGCAAATAAGTGTTGAATGTACTTCATGAAGTGGAAAATTGTGATCAGGTATACGTCAAAGTGGCAAACAAGTGTTGAACGTACTTCATGAAGTGGAAAATTGTGATCAGGTATACGTCAGAGTGGCAAACAAGTGTCGAACGTACTTCATGAAGTGAAAAATTGTGATCAGATATACGTCAGAGTGGCAAACAAGTGTCGAACGTACTTCATGAAGTGGAAAATTGTGATCAGATATACGTCAGAGTGGCAAACAAGTGTTGTACGTACTTCATGCTACTTTTTGGATTGCAAACATATTATATATAATAAATTATAGAAACTCCAGAGTGTTGTACAAAATTCTAACCAAGATTTACCCAAAGCTTGGCACTAGAAAGAAAAAACAAATGTAAATGATCATGAAGATAGGAATAAAAAAAGAAAGATTATTGATAGTCAGCTGAGAAACCATGGTTTCCTGTCAAGACCACTTCTAGAACAGAAATGTACAGCTACCAACAGATTCACTCAACCAACTGCCTAGGAGGAATTCCCCAAATGACAGAACAGCAAGTGACAAGAGGCCATCCCATCTGTATGCCATAACCCTTGAAAAAGAGTTGGTGAATGGACAGTTTGTTATATTTTTGTATTAAGCCTGTTCCAGGGATTTCACAATCCAGGATGGGGGCAGTGTTGTAAGTTATATTTTAAACGTTAGCTAGAGGGCACATGATGTTAAGATCATTAATGTTCATAAAAGTACCACACTTGGTAGGAGTGAGAATTCTGTATAAATACAAGTAGTTAATGATGGAATAGTTAAGTTACCAATAGAAAACTGATCAAGTGAAGTTATTCAGTAAAAGTTTAAGTTTCTGTTACAATAATCAGGTATGTAATCCATCAAGGATATTTCTGTTAATCATTTATAGTATATTAGGCCTTAAGTAATATCAGTTTATGTCAAAAATTTGTTTGTGAACTTAGTCCTACACCCTGTGCCAAAGTGACTGTAGCCTGTAGCGCATGTTGTAGACCAGTGTTCCCAACCTTTTTCACCACAGTGCCCACTTCTAATAAATGTTTAGACAATCAAAGTATTTTACTAAAATGAAAACTGTAAGGCAATAATAGTCAATTGCAAATTTTGAAATATTTTATTTCAGCAATGGTAGAGAACAACATTACTGTAACACATTTAATACAAGTACCACAAGTGGTGCAGTGCCAAAAGAGACATGCTCAATGAATGGACAAGAAGCAATGGGGTGGGCATTGCTTGCCACAAACACACCCACACAATGATTTTTGCTCAGACTTGTTGAAAGAAAAACCTCTATTTCTTTTGGTTTAATTTTAACAAAGATAACTTTGAAATCCTCAAAAGTTTTCTATCTACACCCTTGAAGTTTACTGTCCACCTGAATTTTAAAAATGCCAATTAGGGGGCAGTACCATCCAGGTTGGGAAATGCTGTTGTAGAGGAAGTAAACTAATTTGTTATCATTACATGGACTGAACTTTACATTATTTGTACCAAATAATCCAATAAAACCTGTTCAATGATAAAACATGTTACAACAATCACTTTATACAAATCACTAGTTAGGCCTCACTTGGAATACTGTATACGGTTTTGTTCTCCTTGTCTTAGAAGTTAGAAAGGATACCGACTTATTGAAAATGGTTCAGAGGTGGGCTACTATGATGATTTGAAGACGAGAGATAGATCAAGATATGATCTTAATGAAGTATACAAGATTATCCAATGGCTTAATAGCCTCTTAAGGCCTCTAATTTTTTTTATTATGATCCAAAGACAAACAGGAAAACAGGTCACAAGTTTAAGATTTGGAAAAAAGCAGTCTGTGTTCTAGTTAAGGCAGTTTTATATGTCTAAGCACATAAAAAATAGAATAAATGGGGAATTAATCATTTTCTCAAAGGTGGTTGTGCAGGAACAGTGTTGAAACTCAAAATGGTCCCCTTTTTCTCCGTATGTTTTGTTAAAATGATGGCATTTCTTGCCCATTTAATTCAAAATTTATATAGTTGTTTCCAATACTGTACAAATGTGTATACATACATGTATATGTATACAAAAAAAGAAATTAAGACTTTTAGAGAAAAATCACCTTTAAAAACTAATGCTCTTTTCCAAGCCAGAAACAAGTTTTCCATTTTGTACTTATATATATATATATATCTTCCCCAAATACATTTATTGCTCTACTTATGCAAATACGCCTGTAGTATCTCTGGCAATAAGGTATAGTAATGCTTCAAACAAAAAAGCAACTGTAAGCGACTCTTTTTCTGTCTATAACTTGTTACCTATTCATCAAAACACATAATATAGATAATTTTTATTTACTTTGGACTTCTACAATATACCACTAAAAGTAAAACGGTAATAAAATAATATTCATAATAATAACCAAGATACGTAAACAGATAGCAACACTCCACAAAGTCAGAAATATCAAATTCTGACCAACAACTGTGACTCATTCCCCCAGTTGATTCATTTTTCTACTGACAACACGAAAATATCAAATGTACGCCCTTGAGCATATGAAACGTCCACCCCCGTGTTATTGAAGTGAACACGACTATTGTATTTTCATTCAGTTACTTATTTTAGAACACAATAATTTGTACTTCTTACTATATCCTTTTAACCATCACAAGAAAAATCCTTAAACAATATATCTTTGTAAATAAAAAGGTAATTGAATAACTATGGTACTTACAATACCAGGAAGATCAGCATACTTTGGATTCGCCATAACGACATTAAGTAAAACCTCCACTGATATTGTTAGTGAAGAGACAAGAGCGACATCTTCAAAACTTCTGTTAATTATGATGAGATTAAAAAAAAGTGATATCTAAAATATTTCAAAAAGAGAACGTTTTTTTTTTTTTTGGAATTAAGCACAAAGTTATACAATGGGCTATCTGTGCTCTGCCCACCACGTGTATCGAAACCCGATTTTTAGCGTTGTAAGTCCGCAGAAATATTTCTGTGCCACTGGGGGGTGGGCAAAAAGAGAACGAAATAATTATGATTTAGAAAATGGAATAGAAAAAATATTATCTAAACAACTATTTATGTATTAGTATATTGTGGAATTAAAATTAACACGTCTAAACTATATAATATGAGGAATATTATGCATGTTACGTTATATTAATTAAAGTAATGTTTTTCTGTTTTATTTTGCGTATTACAATCTGTAAATGTTTTAAAGCTATTAGTTTAATTTAAATTAAAAGACATTCGAACACTTTAAATTTGGTATTTTACAGATATGGTGGTCGAGTATATTTAAGGCACCAGTTTCTTAGATTACAGCATATGCCAAAATTCATTGATTTTTGCTATCTTACTGGTTGTGAGGTAATGGTTAAATAGATGCATTACAAAATAAAGAAATACTCTATATACGGATAAGTCACGGTATTCAGTACATATCACTTATTAGCTTCTTGTACTAATTTGAAGATGAAGTTATTTTGTTCAATACATTAAAACATTTTAACTTGTAGGATAACTAGAGTTTTATTTCGTTGTTTTTAGCGCAAAATTAAACAATGGGATACCTGCGCTCTGTCCATCGCGGATAATCGAACCTTGAATTTTAACGTCGCAAGCCCGAAAACTTACTCCTGACCCACGGGGAACAGTAGCTATGTCAACGAGGAGTTTGAAAAATGAGATTCAGAGCATAACAATTTCAATAGTAGTGTTAAGTCTCCGTTTGTTAATTAACTTTCCGTAACTCCGTTCCGACGAAACTTTAGCGACACAAGTCCTTACTTAATAAAACTGGTTTATTCTTTCTGAATATAACTTCACGATACACTTGATTTCAACATTCGCGCTAAAACAAACGCTATAACGAACGTTAACTTCAACAATACCCTGTGACAGCAGATTAATTACTCACTACCTACACACATAATTGTCACCCTCTTATATACATCACACTACCCTATATCTAGTAATCTCCCGACAATTCCCGAAGGTTCGAGAGAACGAGTCACGTGACCTCGCTGACGCAACAGTAGTTTTAAAGTTAAGAAAATCTGTCAGATTTAGAGATGAACATAGTAGGATCAAGAATAAATTAAATTGTTGATATTCTAATGTCCGAAGTATAAGGAACGAAATAGAAAGGTTCATGCCTTTAGTTAAAATGAAAACTATGATTCTAAAACAACATTTATTACGGCTTTTACTGGGATAAGAAAGAAAAATACCTTTAATAATTTTGTAAGATAGTTTTTATATTTCAATTTTAGTCGTTTCGCTAGAGAGAATTTCAACAACAACACAAGAAGAGCTTATAGCTTACCGAATAAGATTTTCTGGAGTATAAAATAAACCATTTGAACAATATAATACATCAGTTAGACTAGTAAGTAGTTGATTGATTATTACGTCTGTGAAAGTTAGATCAGTGATGTAAGTTTCGAGTTTCTGTTTCGACGAAGTACTAAAGTACACACACGATAAGTTGGCAAGTAAGTGATTAGTGTTATTTATCTGTGAAGTTAGGTACATCGCTTGGCTTTCGTTAATTACCCTAAAGAACATGAAATTCAATTGAAGAAGTAAAATGCTTTCCTTTTATTTGTTATTGTGTTTTAACACAAGGCTACATAGTGGGCTATTTGTGCTCTCTCCACTGAAAGGAATAAAACCTCCGATTTTAGTTTTGTAAATTCTGTAAACTTACTGCTGACCCACTGGGGAGGATTCATTAAGTGCACTGTACATGTCATCGTTTTCCAGAATAATCAAAAAGAAATTGCACAACAATAGAAACCATTACAACACTGATATTAGAAGTGGGATTACTTTGGTGAAAATAAAATTTAAATTCAATTTGAAGACCATGACAGTGCTCAAAGCAAAATGAAACATTTGTGGTACATTCAGTTAAAACTGATTATTCCTAGTACAATGGAATAAGTCCACTGAATAACAAGAAATTTATTATAGAGTATTACTGTGTTTCTTTGAATATCTGAGTTCATGAAAATGAAATAAAGAGACTGAACACAACATAAAAAGCACAATATTTATTATGCTTGAACGCAAAAACAATGTATGTACTTGCTTTGCATGATGGAAAGTCACTTGTACTGGATTGTAACTATTCTCACAAACTGAGCAGCCAAGATCCTATATCAGTGTTTAAATTCAATATTTTCTACAACACAGGTAATATAATATTAATCTAGTGATTAGTGCTACAACATGACTGGTAATTCTCATACAAGCATATTGTAAGCTGTAATCTTGAAATACCACCTAACCTACACTGAAGACACTGGTGTTTACATTCTTACACAATATACAGCATTACAGCCACGCCCCCTCCATGGAAGAACAGGTATGGCCCCAATAAAATGACAAAGGAACAAAGAAAGCTAATGTGAAATCAACTTAATGACTTTCCTTAGAATAACTGATTAATTTAGAATAATATCACATTAATATTTAAAGGTAGAAAATGTATGGCATGTTTATATATCACATATTTAGTGGGATTTGTTATGTATACAAGGCTTTTTATGTTGAAAATTGAACAGAATATATGACGGCAGTTTATTTTCACATTCATGACGTTAGAAAAACACGTAGGTTAAAAAAATCAATTGAACACAAATATATTATACCCTATAATCTGGGCACTTTTAAAGTGTCCACCTTTCGAAAGCACTCGGGTTATAGGGTATCAAAACTTTGTGGTCCATCACTTCCACATCTTTTAAACAGCTGAACACTTAAGTGTTAAGAAAATACTATAAAGGATCCGAGAATGCTTTTACTGGGTTGGATACCAGTGATCTGTAGAAGATGGGTATAAATCGTGTTTAGTATGCGGTGGGTAAAAAAATCCATAAAGGAAACAATATGGTAACTACAGCAAAATTGTGTTGGAGAACCATTTGAGAAAGATGCTGTTGGTTTGCTATTTGCCGAGTCCACCCCGGGGAATCAAACCTCGGATTTTAGCAATGCAAGTCCATAGACATACTGCTGTCCACCAGAAGCAAAAACTTTAGCAATGAAGTTTGTTAATGACCTTGTTTGGGGATTTGGGGTGCAAATGGAACTTACTCAGATCAGGGATAGAACTTCGAATCAAACTTGTTTGAAGAGATATACCAAATCCTTGGAATCAAAATGACGAGTATGATTCATTCATCTTCTGATGGAATGGTGGAGAGAAATAACCATAAACATATAAATCAATTAGCCATTCATGTAAACGAATATTAGAAGATGCGAGATCAATGTATTCCACTCCTACCCACGAGTTTTGAAACAGCAATACATGAAGCTACAGACAACATCACTGATGTTTAGAAGAAAACTTTAAGTGCCATAGCACCTTCTGTAATCACATCCTGAGGACCGTCACTCAGCAGTCTTACAGAGAGTATGATGAGAGAAAGGAACACAAATGGTTCGTTTACCAAAGAAAACTTTAATCAGCTAGTTATAAGATAAAACGTTTCTGTGATGTAAATGCAGATAAGGTTGGATTTCATTTTGGTTACATGCTATGGTTGTGCAACTTTTAACACAAGAGGCCGAACTCTGAAGTTAAGTATGCTAGGAAGGATCCTATGCTGTAGTAAAAAGAATCAATGATATGATTTATAAAATCCTGGTGATCCAAGTCAGAGATCATCCACTGTGAACATCTTTGAAGGTACATTGGTAAAATAATAGCCAACTGGTTAACTTCAGAGAAGACCTCAGCAGTGGTAAGTCAACCTGCTGAAGTGTCAAAGGTTTCTCTTAAGACAATTCTAGAGTATCACCAAGGACGGAGCTACCATTTGAGAGAAAGAGGCCATCCCAATTTCACACCATATACTACAGAAAAAAAAAAGCAAAAGGGTTTGGTGACTGGACAATTTAGAAAGTAAATAAATATATAAAGATTTTTGTTAATCAAACTTTTTGAATTAGGCATACAATTAGCTAGGAATTTTCTGTTGAAACTATTTGAACTCGGGTCTAAAACTTGTATCAAAGTAAACATACTTCATAGGTTTGTTTGTTTAGAATTTCACGCAAAGCTACATGAGGGCTATCTGCATTAGGCATCCCTAATTTAGCAGTGTAAGACTAGAGGGAAGGCAGCTAGTCATCACCACCCACCGCCAACTCTTGGGCTACTCTTTTACCAATGAATAGTGGAATTGATCATCACATTATAATAACCCCACGGCTGAAAGGGCGAGCATGTTTGGGGTGATGGGTATTCGAACCCCTGACCCTCAAATCGTGAGTCGAGCACCGTAACCAGCTGGCCATGCCGGGCCTACTTCATAGGAATGTTACAGAAGAAATAAACTAAGATGTCATCATTACGTGGGCTGGACTCTGCATTATTTTCAGATGTCATCATTACGTGGGCTGGACTCTGCATTATTTTCAGCAAATAATTAGAAAAAACTTGCTAAACAAAATAACAAGATTACAACACTGGTGTTAGTAGTGAGATCATTTTGGTAAACATATAACAGAACTTTTAACTAAAATTCAAATTTGAAGATGATCTTAAAAGTGAGATAGGAAATCTGCTAGAGAAGAAAAAACAACAGAAAGAAGAACAAACAGAAAAGTAAAAGAATCCCAAAAAAGAGCATATTTTAATGAAGACTGAACATTTTCAAAAAAGGCAAGCACAGTATAGTAAAGGCAGTGACCCCAGAGTACAACAGGTCAAAGATGTGACATCCACAAGTGATGATAGAGAGATAATATGGCCCAACACTCCAACTGAAAGATGCTCAGACAAAAGATGAAAATTTGAAACCAATTAT